CATCTAGCCCAGTATCCTGTGTGCCAACAGTGGCCAATGTCAGGTGCCCCAGAGGGAGTGAACTTAACAGGTAATCACCAAATGATCCATCCCCTGTCACCCATTCCCAGCTTCTGGCAAACAGAGGCTAGGGACACCATCTCTGCCCATCCTGCCTAATAGCCAATGATGGACCTGTCCTCCATGAATTTATCTAGTTCTTTTTGACCCCTGTTATAGGCTTGGCCCTCACAACATCCTCTGGCAAAGAGTTCCATAGGTTGACAGTGTATTGTGTGAAGAAATATTTCCTTTTGTTTGTTTTAAACCTGCTGCCTATTAATCCCTGAAAAGGGAGAAAAAATTCAAAATGCCATACATGAGAATTTTATGTTTGGCAGTTTGCACTACAGAGCTAAAACGTTTCTTGAGGTGCCCTTTTAAGCTGCTATGCTGTGCATATGAAACAGGCACCTCTTTATCTTACATATTAAATAAGGATCGATTTTGTTTTTAAAATGAGAGTACTTAATATTGGAGAATTCCATATGCTGGGTTATATAGTTTAGTAGCTTTCTCACACAAGCAGCATTCAAATGAATCCCCCAGAATGAAGTTAGGGAGTAAAGGCATAGAAATGCAAACACTAACAACAGGCACTTGGGGAAATAAATTAGGCATGTAGCAGTTCAATTGCCCAAGATCTTTCACTTGCTGAATTCTCAGTTTGAGGTTGGCAGTAAGATGTGTATTGCTGTTATCTGGGTTGTACTATATGGTGTCAAGGTTCCTCCCCCACTCTGAACTCTAGGGTACAGATGTGGGGACCTGCATGAAAACCTCCTAAGCTTACTTTTACCAGCTTAGGTTAAAACTTCCCCAAGGTACAAATTAATTTTATCCTTTGTCCTTGGAATAACCACTGCCACCACCAAACTCTAACTGGGTTTACTGGGAAACGTAGTTTGGACACATCTTTCCCCCCAAAATCCTCCCAACCCTTGCACCCCACTTCCTGGGAAAGGTTTGGTAAAAATCCTCACCAATTTGCATAGGTGACCACAGACCCAAACCCTTGGATCTGAGAACAATGAAAAAGCATTCAGTTTTCTTACAAGAAGACTTTTAATAGAAATAGAAGTAAATAGGAGTAAAGGAATCACCCCTGTAAAATCAGGATGGTAGGTACCTTACAGGGTAATTAGATTTAAAACATAGAGAATCCCTCTAGGCAAAACCTTAAGTTACAAAAAAGACACACAGACAGAAATAGTCATTCTATTCAGCACAATTCTTTTCTCAGCCATTTAAAGAAATCATAATCTAACGCATACCTAGCTAGATTACTTACTAAAAGTTCTAAGACTCCATTCCTGGTCTATCTCCAGCAAAAGCAGCATATAGACAGCCACAGACCCTTTGTTTCTCTCCCTCCTCCCAGCTTTTGAAAGTATCTTGTCTCCTCATTGGTCATTTTGGTCAGGTGCCAGCGAGGTTACCTTTAGCTTCTTAACCCTTTACAGGCGAGAGGATTTTTCCTCTGGCCAGGAGGGATTTTAAAGGGATTTACCCTTCCCTTTATATTTATGTCATATGGCAATCAATAACACATGATTGGGAAGGGGTATGGAGCCATCAGCAGCAGACTGAGGGGTAGGAGGGGCTATGCTGGCCAATGGCCGCACTTCAGGGAACCCCCATTGGAAGAAGGAATCTCCCAACATCTCCCCACGCCACTGAGTGCACACGGAGGTGGCAGTAGCTGTCGGCACAGCAGATGCTTTCTGGCCTTTAGGCACTTACAGAAAGACGACAATACAGGTAACATTAGATTGGACAGTTTGGGCTTTTGGTTTTATTTTGGAGGTTGGGGTGGGTGGAAGAAGGGTAAAGTGTTGCAGCAGCAGCAGGCATGGTGAAACCTGTTTGCTTGGGCAGCTGGATGGGTGAAGGGAGGGGTAGCAGGAAAAGAAGTGTATGTTTAGGGTGTGTTTTGAGGAAAGAAAAGTATCTAATTCAGAAGACATGGTCCCTAGACATCATCTTGAACTTTGTGCTCCGGATGCTGTTTGTCCGTTGTTCTCTGTCTTTCCTATTTAGAATGTAAACTCCTTGGGCAGGGAATGTGTCGTCCTCATGTGTATGTTCATTACCTAACATGATAGGGCTTCAGTGCTGATTGTGACCTTAGGGCACTACTGGAATGTGAACTTGAATCATGATTATTAGAATGACTCATGCTTTGTTTTACTTATGACTCAAAGTAATGTATAATAGTCACTGAGAGTTCTACTTTACTGATTTTCTGTTCACTTAAAACATACATGTCTCCCTAGCTGTCTTTTGACTGTCTTTCTGAAGAAACAACAGGACCGTTTCTTATCTCAGTCAAACCAATGTAACCCTGATTGGAGATCAGAGTGTAGCCCATAAACTTTTTCATTAGGAAACCTATTATTCAGTTGGAGTGCTGGTGAACAGTGCTAGATTATATGGAAAACTTAAGTGCTCTATCCACTGAAGAGTACAGTACATTCAGTGGTACTGAGAACTTCCCCATGGTGCCCTGCTGACATGCCTCGGTGCTGAAATTGAAAGACTGCACTTAAGCATTTAAATGTAGTTCAGCTTTGATGCCCTCTCAGGCTTTGACGTTTGCACTTATACTGCCAGCAAACCTGTCAGTTGTAATAGACTTAGGGCTTGTCTACATGGCCCCACTGTGCAGAATATGGCAGTGTAAGTTGCAGTGTGCCCTAAAGTGTTGCACTGTAACTGCCCTGTGTAGACCCTGCTAGGGTGAATGAAAATGTACCTACCGTAGTTCCTGTTAACATGGTCCATTTTCATTTGCACTAGCAGGGTCTAGCAGCATGTAGTTACAGTAACTCTTTGGTGCGCGCTGCAATTCACACTGCTGTAGACTGCACTGTGGGGCTGTGCACACAAGCCCTAAGGCTTCATTCACATAGGCCACTGAAGATCTCCCTTAGGGAAGTGACATTTGGCAACTAACAGCCTGAGCTAGATTTGAGCCAGTAACTGAGATGAACGGTTCTGCAGATCATGACGAGGCCTGGGAACCATCTGATCCTTAACAAGACTTTTCTGTCCTGTCTGGCTTTTCTGATTATTTTTTCCATTTTGCAAATACAATTCAAGTATCTCGTGAATCCTATATTGGCAGGTAATAAATGAACTGTAACAGAATGTTTCCTTTCAGTTTTGCTGGATGTCTCTCTCTAGTCTTGCATTATAAGAAAGGGTCAATAGGAGCACCTCATTTACCTTCTCTGTGCCATTCATTATTTTGTATGCTTCTTTCATGTCCCCTTATTTGCTTCCTCTCTAATTCAGCCTCCTCTGACTCAGTCAGTAATTGGGTTTTTTTAAATAGAAACTAAGCTATTTCATTCTCATTCAAATGACTGCCCTCTTTCCCTTTTAATCTCTGTTCGTGCTTGTTGTGAATTATTGTTAGTTAATAGAGAGACGGCTACTGTGCTTTACAGGCCAGGCATATTTTGGTAGCAAACCTAGTAACATTAGCGTTGGGATTCCCTCAGAGATCTTTTCCGCTTATCCAGAGGGCTTCATTCAGTTCTGGAAGAACCCTTCATCCAGTTCTCTGGGATCCAAAAAACTCAGTTCAACTCCAGCTCATCACTCTGGCTACTTTATTAGGCATGTAACAACTCTTGGGTTTAGTTATGGAGGATACAACTCCAATTCATGTCACGCTACACACCTATCTTTATATACATCTTTTCTAGCTGCTAACATCTATACCAGTGGCCCTCAACCAGGGGTATGCGTACCACTGCGGGTACGTAGAGGTCTTCCGGGGAAGGTCAGTTTTTCTAGATATTTATAGAGTTTTACAACAGGTTACATAAAAAGCATCAGAAGTCAGTACAAACTAAAATTCATATAGACCATGACTTGTTTATACTGCTCTGTATACTATACACTGAAATGCAAGTACAATATTTATATTCCAATTTATTTATTTTATAATTATATGATAAAAATTAGAAAGTAAGCAAATTTCCAGGAATAGTGTGACACTTTTTTTGTATTTTTATGTCTGATTATGTAAACAGGTAATTCTTAAGTGAGGTGAAACTTGGGGGTACGCAAGACAAATCAGACTGAAAGGGGTATAGTAGTTTGGAAAGGTTGAGAGCCACTGATCTATGCAACTTGCATGTAAGGACCAATTGTTTGGCATATTGCATAAGGCAAGCTTATCAGTTCAAGGTGTTTCTGCCTACTTTGTTTACTAAAAACATACCCACAATAGCTTGCTTAGTTCTTGCCTCCCTTTATTTACTGTAAACGTACACAACAGTTAGTTGTTTCAGCAAGTATTTGTCTGGGGTTATCTGGTCTTAACTTGGGCCTGCTCATGTCAGCTAAGTTATCCCTGCAATTAGTTATGCTCATCCTAAGAAGCATATTTTACTGTGGTTGTTTTTCACATTTAAATGTGGTGCAGATGGGTCCAGGATCTCATTTTTGGGTATCTTTGTGACAGAATGTCATGCTGTAGAGCCATGCAAATTGATACAAGGCTATTCTCCTGACTCACCCTAGCAACCAGACCAGGTGAGTCCATAGGTGCTGGAACTATGGGTGCAGGGGATGCTGCCACGCTCCCTGGCTTGAAGTAGTTTCCATTATATGCAGGTTTACAGTTTGATTCATTGGCTCTCAGCACCCCCAGTATACAAATTGTTCAGGACCTCTTGGTGAGTCTCTTTAGATTCAGTTTGGGAGTATAAAAGACTGAGTCTCTCCAAGGCAAAAGGAGAGATGGGAAGTTGTGAAGGTAGAAATCCTAGGAACAGCCATCTTAAGAGGGTGCTTAGGGTAAGGTTTATGTTTATTGTTTACATTAAGGATATAAGAAGACCCCACTAATGGCCCATTGCATGTGTGCTGAGTTGAGAGTGGAGTGAGCGTCCACGTACACTTATTAATTAATCTTTGTTTTTTAAACTCCCATTTACATTTTGCAGGTGATGGAAGTCAAAGGACAAATGATCCATGTGCCTGAGTCAAATTCTATTTTGTTTTTGGGTTCCCCTTGCGTGGACAAGCTGGATGAACTGATGGGCCGAGGCCTACATCTTTCTGACATACCTATCCACGATGCTACCCGTGACGTCATATTGGTTGGGGAGCAGGCAAAGGCCCAAGATGGCTTGAAGAAACGAATGGATAAACTGAAGGCAACATTAGAGCGAACACACCAAGCTCTGGAAGAGGAGAAAAAGAAGACAGTGGATCTTCTTATTTCTATTTTCCCAGAAGAGGTGGCTCAACGGTTGTGGCAGGGGCAGCAAGTTCAGGCCAGGAAGTTTGATGATGTCACCATGCTCTTCTCAGACATTGTTGGCTTCACAGCTGTATGCGCCCAGTGCACCCCCATGCAGGTGATCAGCATGCTGAATGAGCTGTACACTCGATTTGACCATCAGTGTGGATTTCTGGATATCTATAAGGTAAGGTACTTCAGTCCATAAATTAGGGAAAGCATGTCTTCTTAAGTTGCCCCTGTAGCTCACTTCCTAAGTTGCAAAAACAATTTTAATAAAGTTGGTTGGAAAATGTTACGGTTTTTGTTTATGGAGAATTTTGAGGTTGTGGTGGAAAAATTTGAAATAAAAAATAGTTTGGTTGAAAACAAATATTTTTGATTCTGAAATGCCACGACAGTACCTTATGGGAGCTATAGTTTAGGTGCCTCATCCTTTCATTTTCCTCTGTGCACTGGGCTCCCTGATCAGACTGTCTCCCATGGTGCACCACAGTCTCACCTTTTTCTGAGAGGAGGTGGTCACCATGAGCAATACATAGCCATTGTGTATTACGGCTGAAGAAGTCCGGCTGGAGACCTTACTCCATAGAGGAGAATGAGGCACTGGAATGACAGCTTCCATGAGGTACTTTAGTGGCCTTTCAGTGTCAAAATACTTTGGTTTGGGGCCAAAAACTAAAATATTTTTGTTTTTTGGGCATTCAGTTTTTCAACAAAAAAAAAAAATCAAAACTATCCACAGAAAGCTGACAGTTTTCAAAATAAATCATCTTTATTTATAAACCTTGTTTTTTGCAGGAAAAGGTTTCAATGTAATTTGTTTACTAGCCCTAGTTTTCAGGCTCTGTTAGTTTAAAAAAGGAGCCATAACTCTTTTATTTGGAGATCTACATGTGGACCCTTAAAGCAGAACTCTCCTAAAATATTTTCTCTTAAAAGGATGGTTTATTCACAGTTTATGCTGTGTTTTGTGATTTTAATAAAGAAGGGGCCAGATAGTCTTCTTCAGCTGGTGTAAATCAGTGTAACTCCATTGCAGCCAGTGGGAATATGCCAATTTTAACCACCTGAGATTCAGGAAAATATCCTTGTTGGTAATCAGTTAAAATCTTTCTTTTAGCAAAATGTAACTTTGTTAATGAGTTCTATCCCATTTGCACTTGCTTCTGAGTCCTTTCAGATTTGAATGGTGCCTATTGTAATTCTGAAGTCCGAAACGCCACTTGTGTGGGGTTTTTTTGTCCCAGGTCATGTTCAAAATTAAAGGGACGCATTTTCTGTTTCGGGTTCAGATGTGACAAGTTGGTGGAAATCTCATGAACAGCTGATGTTGTGAAAGTGTCTCTAGTCAAGGGTTCTTAAATTTGTCAATCTCAGTTGATTTGCATCAGTAGGACCAAATCTAGTTGAGAACAGCTCATGAGATTTCACTGACTCTGAACCTTAACCCCAATCTGGCTCTAGATCTGAACACTGATTCCTTATCTCATTCTACTTGTTAGGAAACTACAGTATAATACAAGGTATAACAAAGGTAAAAACAAAATCTGATAGGTCAAGGAGAGTAGCACAACATGGAAAGTGAAGCTGAAAGATGATGGGTAACGGTAAACCAATTCACACAAAGATTTCATCCAGACATTTCTAATACAGAATCTAAGAAATATTAAAAAATAAAACAGCATTTCAGAGGAATAGCAGAGGCAGCATGTAATAGGCCTGGGTGTCTGTCGTTTGTGACAACAAGCAATAAGAACCCACACATCTACTTCTAATTTGCATCTTCATGTATTTATGAAAGATTCTTTGTGTAACACTGCGGGGTCTGGGCCCACTGTAGTCTTTTAGGCTCGGATTCACCCAGGGATTTAGGTGTTGGGGCAGTCCCAACACCTACCTTATGGGTGTCTAGAAAAATCACAGGAAGAACCCTGTGACCCAGAAAGCCTGAGTTAGTTGCTAGCCAATAGGAGATGCTGACTAGAGGGATATGTCCTAAACCCCACCCCTCTCACGGAGATAGGTGCCTAAGTTCACGCTGCAGAGAGGCTCCAGTCTTTGCCAGTGATTCAGAACCAGGAACTGCTCTCCTGGATTCAGGTGCCATAGGTGAGAATAATTTAGGCACCTAACTCCACAGAAAACAGGCATAGGAGGAGGTGGTGCCTACCCTGTAACTTTTAGCCCAGTGGTCAGCACACTCCTCCAGGATGTGGGAGACCCAGATTCAATTCCCCCCTCTACTGAAGGGGGAAAATGGATTTGAACAGGGGTCTCCCACAGTTTTAAGTGCTATAACAACTGAGGTATGAGGTACTCTGATGTGGGCTTCCCTCAAATCACTCCTGTTGAAGCTGTTCCACTCTGGCTCAATCGCTCATTATTTATCCAAAGAGAGTGGGAAAGTGGGAATGACTCTCTAACCCCATGATTAGGGCATCCACATGGGAGACCCATGTTCAAATCCCTTCTCCCCCCTTTAGCAGAGTGGTTAATTGAACCTGTCTTTCTTACATCCCAAGGGCTCGAACCTCTGGGCTAAAAAATTTTCAGGTGGCCACCACCTCTTCTGCCAGAAATTCAGTCAGCAGTCTCTGAGTACACCTACCAGATCAGGCCCCAAATGTGAGTCCAGACATCTGTCCTCCTCAGTTTGTCAATTGCTCTGAGGCTTAGATGGGAAATAGACAGCCAGACACTTAGAGTAAGACAGCAGTGTACATGCCCGGTGGCAGAAACTTAGGCACTGCATCGGCATAGGCACCTGCAGCATTGGGTGGGAGTTCTGTGAATCGCTGTAGAACCTTAAACTGGGACTTAGGTACCTAAAACCGGACTTAGGTACCTAAAACCGGACTTAGGGCTTGTACACACTACCGCTTATGTTAGTATTACTTATGTAGCTCCGGGGTGTGAATAAGCCACCCCCCCCCCCCCGCGTGACGTAAGTTACACTGACCGACCTCGGCGCCGGTGTGGACAGCACTATGTCAGCAGGAGAGCATCTCCTGTTGACATAGCTACTGCCTCCCGTGGAAGTGGTTTTATTATGCTGACAGGGCGCTCTCCCGTCGGCATTGGTGCAGCTGCGCTGCTGTAGCACTTCTAGTGTAGACTAGCTCTTGGGCATCTAAATCCCCAGGTATTTACCTTTGTGAATCCAGGCTTTAGATCTAGCTCTCTTCAATCCTTTCCTATTCGTGCTTTCTTGACCTTTCTCCTCCTGCATTATGTTTCAGGGTGTTAAATTTTACTGTCAGTTAGAGAATTGATATGGTTTGACTAACCAAACTGTAATCAATCCTGATGAAGTGTGTCCTGGGATCCATCAGATAAGTGTCTTGGAGTTTCGGTGGTGTTTTTTTGTTTGGTTGTTTTTTAATAATGTCTCTGCTGGTTTTTATGTGTAATTTTTTTCCAGGATCTGAAGTGTAAAAATTAGGGCTGTCGATTAATCGCAGTTAACTCATGTGATTAACTAAAAAAAAATTAATCATGATTAATCGCACTGTTAAACAATAGAATACCAACTAAAATGTATTAAATATTTTTGGAGGTTTTCTACATTTTCAAATCTATTTCAATTACAACATAGAATGCAAAGTGTACAGTGCTCACTTTATATTTTTTATTACAAATATTTGCCCTGTAAAAATGGTAAACAAAAGAAATGTATTTTTCAATTCACCTCATACGAGTACTGTAGTGCAATCTCTATCGTGAAAGTGTAATTTACAAATGCAGATTTTTTTTTGTTACATAACTGCACTCAAAAACAAAACAATTTAAAACTTGAGTGCCTACAATGCCACTCAGTCCTATTTCTTGTTCAGCCAATCACTAAGAAAAAGAAGTTTGTTTACATTTACGGGAGATAATGCTGCCCACTTCTTAATTACAATTTAACTTCAAAGTGAGAACAAGTATTCACATGGCACTGTTGTAGCTGGTATTGCAAGATATTTACATGCCAGATGCGCTAAAGATTCATATGCCATTGCATGCTTTGGCCATTGTTCCAGAGGACATGCTTCCATGCTGATGACGCTCGTTTAAAAAAATGTGTTAATTAAATGTGTGACTGAACTCCTTGGGGGGAGAATTCTATGTCTCTTGGTCTTTTACCTGCATTCTGCCATATATTTCATGTTATAGCAATCTCTGATGGTGACCCAGCACATGTTGTTCATGTTAAGAACACTTTCACTGCAAATTTGACAAAATGCAAAGAAGGTACCAATGTGAGATTTCTAAAGATAGCTACAGCGCTCAACCCAACATTTAAGACCCTGAAGTGCCTTCCAAAAATCCGAGAGGGATGAGGTGTAGAGCATGCTTTCAGAAGTCCTAAAAGAGTAACACACTGATGCGGAAATTACAGAATCCAAACCACGAAAAAAGAAAATCAACCTTCTGCTGGTGTCATCTGACTCAGATGATGAAAATGAACATGCACTGGTCTCATAGACTCATAGATATTAAGGTCAGAAGGGACCATTATGATCATCTAGTCTGACCTCTTGCACAATGCAGGCCACAGAATCTCACCCACCCACTCCTGCAATAAACCTCTCACCTATGTCTAAGCTATTGAAGTCCTCAAATCAAGGTGCAGAGAATCCTTCAGCAAGTGACCCTTGTCCCATGCTACAGAGGAAGGCGAAAAACCGCCAGGGCCTATTCCAATCTGCCCTGGAGGAAAATTCCTTCCTGACCCCAAATATGCTTTAGATTGTTATCGAGCAGAACCCGTCATCAGTATGGATGCCTGTCCTCTGGAATGGTGGTTGAAGCATCAAGGAACATATAAATCTTTAGAGCATCTGGCATGTAAATATCTTGCGAAATTGAGCTTTTTATGTGTTACTTTTGGAACAATAAACATGTTAATCACAGAAAAAACAATCTGCAGTGAAAATAGTTTCCATTAGCTTAGTGAAAAGCATGCCAGTGAGATTATATTGCTATGCAAAGGGCAAGTTCAGTTTCTCTCTGCTCCTACAGCCTGAACAGAGCTGCAGGAGCACCAGCTCCATGGCCTTAAACTAACAAACATAGTAGCCATTAGGATGAGGACACCCCAAAAATATGAGGGTGAGGAGCTTAAATGTGGTAAAAGGTAGGGGCTATTCATACATATATGCATGAAGGATGTCAAGGCCTATAGCACAGCTGGTCTTAAGT